CTTACTCCAGTCCTTGGATGAGCTAGATTTGAAGAGGTGGAATAAGGAGATGTATGGTCGGTTAGAGGGCCAAAAAGTGGCAGTGGTGTCCTTACTCCAGTCCTTGGATGAGCTAGAGCTAGTGATGATGTCAGGAAGGAAGCGGTTAAATAGGACTTTGTTCATATTTCCTGTATGGAAGAGGTGTGTTTTAGACAAAAATCTAAGTGTTTGTGGTTGAAAGATGGGAATTGGAATACAAAAAATTTTCATCGGATGGCGAATGCACATCGGAGGGTTAATCAGATCAGTAGGATGTAGGTGGATGGCCGAGAGATGCATACGGATGTGGAGATTAGGCAAAGGGTTGTGGGCTTCTATCAATATCTATTTCGACACCAAGAAGGTGCATGGAGGTCGGGTTTGGTAGGTGTTCAGTTTCATGTGATATTAGGAGAGATTAGGGAGAAGTTGGAGCGAGCTTTTACGGAGGAGATGTTTTGGGGCTCTAGGGGCTATGAGTGGTGATAAAGCCCTGATTGTTTTTTATTATGATTTTCTTCCAGCATTGTTGGAGTGTGGTTAAGGGAGATGTGACTGTTATTTATTATGGTTAAAGGAGATGTGATGGCAACAATGGTTTTTTATTATGGTTTTCTTCCAGCACTATTGCAGTGTGGTTAAGGGAGATGTGATGATTAAAGGAGATGTGATGGCAACAATGGAGGATTTTTTTGAGCCTGGACAATTTGAGAAAAGTTTCAATGCGACTTTTTTGACTTTGATTCCTAAGAAAGGAGGGGCTGAAGATGTTTGTGCTTTTAGGCCTATTACTTTGTTGGGGAGTGTGTATAAGTTATTAGCTAAAGTCTTGGCAGCTATGGTGTTTAAGTCTCAGAATGCGTTTGTGGGGAGGGGAGACAGATCCTTGATGCAGTATTGGTTGTCAATGAGTGTATGGACTCTCGGATTCGTCAGGAGCGCCCTGGTTTGATTTGCAAATTGGATATTGAGAAGGCGTTATGACAATGGGATCGTTGTTTAGGGCTACTATTGGTGTATCTCATTTGTTGTATGCGGATGATGCTTTGATTTTCTGTGGTGCTGAAGCGGAGCAAGTAGGACATTTAAGATGTGTTTTGCTTTGCTTTAACGAGGTGTCGGGCCTCCGAGTCAACTTGCGAAAGTCGAGGCTTATTCCAGTTGGGAAGGTCGATAGGGTGCCCATTCTAGAGGCAGTCCTAGGCTGCATGGTCTCGGCGTTGCCGATGTCATCTTTGGGTTTGCCGTTAGAGGCTTCATTCAAGGCGAAAGGGGTGTGGGATGGAGTGGTGGAACATGTTCAACGTCGTTTGGTAGAAATGAAAGAGTCAATATCTTTCGAAAGGAGAGGTTGACATTGATTAAGAGTGTGCTGAGTAGTGCCCCGACCTATTTCATGTTGGTCCATGTTATCCATTGATTAAGAGTTTACTTTCGTTTGGCGAAATGGAAGTGACAATATATTTCGAAAGGAGGGAGGTTGACATTGATCAAGAGTGTATTGAGCAGTATCCCAATCTATTTCATGTCGGTCCATGTTATCCCAGTGTCAGTGACGTAGCGGTTGGAGAAGCTTCAAAGGGATTTTTTGTGGGGTAAGGTACCATTTGGTTGATTGGGGGGCAGATATGTCAACCTAAGCAAACAGGGGGTTTGGGTGTGAGGAGGTTGGTGACTTTTAATAGAGCTGAGTTAGGGAAGTGATTATGGTGCTTTGCTTTGGAGCATGACAGATTTATGGCGGAAGGTGGTGGCTTCTAAGTATAGGGTGGGAACTATGTTACCAGAAAATGCTAATACCCTAGTGAATTACGTATATTGATACACACATTCCAAAACATGGTACACTTCCGTTTCAAAAAATAAATTTAGTGATCCGAAACAGTTCCCAAATTTTTTTCTAATATACTTACTTCCTTAAATGTTAACTTTGGAGAAAAAAAAATCAAATAAAATCTAAGATGAGTTTAGTTTTGACAAGACAAAAATTTAAAAATGGGTCATAATTTTCATAGAAATGATTTGCTAAAAAATTTTATTAGATACTTAATTGTTAAAAGAAAATTACTCTAAAAGTATCTTAAATTCTTAAGTATAATATATACAAGTTTACTCCTATCGAACCACATTTTACAGCATGTGACATACTACGTTCACGTCCTTGTTTCGTGTACCAGAACGATCCACGTTCTAGGTAACATAGTTGGGAAAGGGATCTAGCTGGGCAGGGTAGAGTTTTGGAAGTGGGTAGGGCAAGGTGGGGGATGGAATGAGGGTGAGCTTCTTGAAGGATAGGTTGTGGTGGGGTTTTGCTGGAGACTCGCTTTCCTTTGATTTTTAATATTGCGATTGATCATGAGGCTACGGTGGCTTCTTATTTAAGAGGTGGAGGTGTGGTGGTTTGGAACATTCAGTTATAGTGGGAGGTGCAGGATTGAGAGGTTGCTCAGTTGGTGGAGTTGTGGGGTTTCTTATATGGTTTGGGGATTACTGGGGTGGGACAAGATGTTATGGTATGGAATAGGGTGGGGACAAAGGGGCAGTTCACAGTTGTGTCAATAAATTGGGGTTTGGTGGGGGATTGTATAAGGGTTTTTCCTTGGAAGAGTGTTTCGATGCCGAAGGTTCCGTCAAAGGTTGCTTTCTTCATGTGGACGGCAGGCTCAGGACGGAATCTCACATTGGATAATTTGATGCGGCAAGAGCATGTTTTAGTGAATTGATGTTGTATGTGTTGTGCTGATACAGAGTCGGTGGACCATCTATTTCTTCATTGTTCGGTGGTTTCGTGCTTGTGGGGGGTTTTGTTCACTCTTCGAGATTGTTTGGGTTCAATCGAAAGGGGTGTTGGACTTGCTTTAGATTTGGCGGGGTGTTCGGCTTGGGCGTTGGTGTCGATGTCAGCGAGTGTTGTTGTTGGCGCCATTCTATTTGATGTGGCTTGTTTGGTTGGAACGGAATAGGCGCACCTTTTTAGAGGTTTCTCATGGTGTCTCTTGGTTAGAGAATCATCTTCTTGTAGTTATTCTATTTGTCTTTTTAGATTTTTTAGACGATGTATGGTTATGTATGGTGCTTTGTTTTCTGTTTTCCCCTATTGGAGAGGCCGTTTTGTATTTGTTGCATCATCTTGATGCTTTCTTAATAATATTTGTTTATTTATCCCAAAAAAAAAAAAAAAACAATGATGACTAGAAGTTAGAGGAGGATGTATTTACTACACTAATATTGCATGTGTATAAAAAGAATGAGAGTTTTACAATTCTTGATTACAAAAACAAAAAAAGAAAAAGAATAATTGCATCTAATAGATAGAAATTGTTTTCAAATAAAGAAAAATTAGTTACAAATAGAGTAAGTGGATATCGATAGATATTGAATTTTCCTATTTTATAGGCATAGATAAATAAATGACAATACAGAAAAATGGTAATACTCACCTTTTAAAAACCATATTTCATGGTTTTAAATTTTAATATTTATTTGGTTACTCATCTTTTAAAAACCATATTACATGGGATAGTAGTGTTAACAATTTTAAATTTTAATATTTATCTGGCTAGTTAATTGTTATTATATTTTGTAATTTTTTTTATTTAGAGAAGCTAACACTTATCCGATTGTTTGTTTGTTTGTCTCTCTTTTTTTTTTTTTTTTTTTTTTGAACAAATGAAATATGATCGAATAGAAATTGAGCATGACATTTTTAATCATTTTAAAATGTAAAAATTCAAGAATTTTAGGTTGAGGTTTGAAAAGTTGTTCTGAAACAAAGGCGATAAAAATTTGGGTTAGGGCGAGAGGTTTGTGGCAAAAATTTGGGTTTGACGAGATTTAGTGTAGCTGGTGAGATTTGGGGGCAACTGAAATTGACACTTTTTAGGCTAGATTTTGTGAGTTCAATAAACCATCTACACCGTTGGATCAAACCTAAAACTAATCTCAACCATTCCAGCCAAATATATCTTTAAGACATTTCAAAAACTAAGCTGCTTTATTCTATAGATAGTATAATAGGAGGAAGCAACTAGAAATTGCTATAGACAAAAGTCAATCATGGAAGCCATTTGGAGTTATTGGAGTTGCAAATTATTACAACATTGGAGCTTCTTTCAAAGAGAAGTCAATTTAGAATTCGGATGTGTTGGAGTTATTGGAGTTGCAAATTATTACAACATTGGAGCTTCTTTCAAAGAGAAGTCAATTTAGAATTCGGATGTGGGAAGGTCTTGGGGGTTTCTATGTTCCTAATGTGGCGGCTCACATTGCTACTGACAGAGAGGCCCTGTTTAGTGACCACTTGCAGTTGCTTGATGGTCAGGTTTTTTGGGATGTGGGTGTGGGGGGGTCTTCAGAGAGAGCTCAATGTTGGATGATTGAGGTCCTCTGGCCAGTTTAATGTGAAGTCTTATTATTATGCTACTCTAGCAGGCATTAAAAACCCGTCTAAGGTGTTTTTTTGTTTTTGCTTTTTTTGGTGTGCTACGGATGGGAAGATTCTTACCATTGATAATTAGACTAAAGGGATTGTGCATGTTAATTGGTATTGTATGTGTGAGCATGATGAGGAATATGTGAGCCAACATATTTCCATTGTGAGTTGTGTGCCTTGATCCCAGGGCCGTTCAGGATAGTATTGGGTGTTCCCTAGAGGGTGGGGGGAGCTCTCCTTTTTCTTGAAGGGGAGCTCAAGTGGGGAAGAAGAGGAGGAAGGCTCTTTGATGTGGCTCATTTGGAGTGAGTATTGAGTAAATTACTAGCCTCTAATCAATTCTTGGATTTTGTAGATACTTTCATGAAGGTTTTGGTGCCTCTTTAATGAGATTTATACTTCTTCATCTTTAACCATTTTTTTTTTTTGGGATTAATTATAAAAAATTAAAAAAGGTAAACAACACTTCTTTTTTTAAGTACCAAACAAAGATTCCTTCAGAGATTTCCAAGCCATAGATTTCTCTTCAAATTTAAGTGGTACGTACCTAGGAACAACACTTTCAACCTTCTTTGATGCAATCCGGCCTTTTGGAGCTGAAGATAACTGTTAAAAAGAACAAGTAGGATCAGAAATCATTTACATCGCCGAAAATGAGATAAAACCTAATGTCATGAAATCCATGTGGTATGGTGACCAACCTGTGATGCGATATCCACACCAATCTCATCAAGCACCTACAGATGAACAATGCAAAACAAAGATCATGAGCAAAGAATTGGAGTGTAGAATATCAGAAAATTAAGAAAAACAGTGACTGAAAGTTACTGATATTGCACCTGGTTGGTTAGCTCTTCTGTTTCCTCTTCAGCCTCATCTTTATCTAAAGTTTCATCAATGGATTCTGACATCATCTCAATCTATATACAGAACCATCCACATTTAAGATATTTTTAGGCACACTCGTTAAAAAGAACAGATTTAAGCAACACATTTAAGGAGAAAATTTGTTAGCAATCTGTGCGCAACTAACTTAGCCAAGTCATGTACGAAGAGGAGTTCAAGAAGTGTTGCTGAAGTGTCTGATATTATGAATTTTAAATTTTAATTAAGACACGTCGAAGAAGTGTCGGACACTTTTTAAGAGTGTACTCATGTTCAACACAACACGCCTCCTCCATAGTGGAAGAGTATCTTGGAAGTAAGAGATACAATGGAAGATAATTAAGCAGTAGGTACTATACCGTCATGTCCATTTGTGCCGACTGCTTCTGGAATTCTCTTATTACTTTAGCTTGTTTTGCAGGGGCCATTTGCTGAAACAGGGAAAAAGAAAAGAAGGGAAAACAAATTAATATGATAACAAAGCCATTTTCTAAATCATTTCTGACATGTCTCTCATAGAAAATCAGTTTTTATAAAGTGCAAAACATATGAAGTGCAAAACATAGAAAATCAGTTTTTATAAAGTGCAAAACATAGAAAATCAGTTTTTATAAATCAGTTTCGGACATGGGATCATTTCTCACATCCTTCAAACGCATACCTTGTTCATAGCAACCATCGCTTTAGTTGCACCTTTCATTCCAGTAGAAATAGAAGTGCTCGCATACAACGCCTGTAGAAGTAAGGAAAGAGAAGAAAATATAGGTAAACAATTCCATAGTAAAAGAAAAAAATAATATTAAATAAAAAAGATACTAAGATTTTGGACAATAGTTTTTGAACATAATAATGACCTGTGTATGAGTTGCTACACCTCTGATTTGGGCGCGACTCCCCTGCAAATTTGTAATTTGTTGCCGCAGTCGAACAAGTTGACGAGCTAAAATTCTGGTGGCAGCCTGAGAATTACATAAAAACAATTGGTAATTATAAACTGAAGATGAAAAACCCTATTTTGAAAATCGGCAACAGGATTCAAAACAAAGTTACAGTTCGTGCAGGAAAAATTAGTACATTTTGTCTGTGCATGACTCAAGTAAATTTGTGAACTTAGGAATTTACAGGTATTCTCAAGAGTATTGTAAATAATAAATGTATGTCTATGCTCCAAGGGCTACACCTCAAACAACGGTCTGAAAATATTGTTACCATAGACAATGACAACACGAAAGCTAAAACAATATATAAGTTTTCTAAATCTAATACATGTTTCCACATGCTCCCTTAGCATTCAATTTGTGTCATCATTGGGTCACAACTTACATCTAAGAAGCATAGACACAGATACAAGACAACGATTTTCAAAAAATTAGAATACGGACATGACAGAGATATGCAAAAGTGTAAAAATTGTATTGGGATGTGTAACAAGTGTATATAGAGATATGTAAAAGTGTTTTGAGATATGTGGAAAGTGTGGGATTATAAATATTTCGGTGATTTGCAATTCTAAAGCTATCATAGTAGGACGCTTTTAAAAATATAAAATAAAATAAAATATAAAACCCACAAAAGTGTTATGAAGGTGTGTCTAGACATAGGATAGGTATGTCTGTAAAGTGTCGACAAATCCTCAAAAAAAAAAAATTAATTAAAAGTTAAGACAAGCCACGTGGGCATGTCCAATAGGTGAAGAAGTGTGTCCATGCCGTGTCTGTGTTAGATACATGTCAAAGATAGACACAATACCCATTTTTTGGCATGTTTGTGCTTCCTACATCCACACCATATGGTGTACTAACTTGAGTAACATCAAGAAATGAACTTAGACTTGCCTCATTTCCAGTTTTAGCTGTTTTCTTGATCTCTGCAACTAATTTCTTTTCCTGAAATGCCAGATTCAGATAAAAATACAAAGATCATTGAGGAAACTCATATAAACTGTAGCTGATAGCAACATACCTCCATCTGTAAAGATGCAATCTCACGTTCAATGCCTGCAAACAAGTACAACAGGATATATAGATCAAGCTGTCAATTATCCAAATCATAATCAACTGGCAACTGTCTCATAGGAGGAAAAAAAGACTTCTTTTAGGATTAGCCCCTTGTACAGTTATTGGCACCTACTACAACGGGGTTGTCTGTTGCAAACCTTACCTACCTCTACCACCACTGCAACCTCACCTCTTCCCCCTTCCCCTTTAATTAAACAACAAGTCTTTATGAAACTCTCACGAGTCAAATTTGAGCTACAAAATCAATTTTTAGAAATAGTTTATTTGTTGATTGTGCTGTAACGCACAAAAATTGACTTAAAATTTTTTAGATTGAATTATTCGTATGCTGCATTAGCTAGTTATGTGATTTTAATATTTTTTTTCACCCTCAGTTTTTGTTTTCTTTTTGAACTTTCCTAACCTGTTCAATCCATAAGAATAATCCAATTGACTCGCCAGATTTGAAGCTAGCTGACCCAATCCGACCCATGCACAAATCCATCCGTTCTCATACACAAATCCATCCTTTCTATGATTAACTCTTAGTTTGATCCTAGTCTTGGTTCATTTTGTTACTAAAAAAGGAGGATCAACTAGTGACTGGCAGTGCACAACAATTATGATTTTTCTCCCCCTTGATAAGGGGACAACATTTATTTATTCATTTACCAATAATATTTCCATCAAAACAAATAGACCACAAATCCAATGCACAAACTTCTATAAGGGGCAATAGAAGGGGCAAGAAACCGACTGTACCTCTGGTGGCAACCGACATTTCTCTTTTGCTTGTGCGAAGTGCATCTGTCAAAAGTTTAAAATCGCAAAACTTCTAATTAGTGTATCAACATTAAAAAGTAAAACTTCCATTGAAAAGAAATTCTACTAAAAACAAAATAAATTACTCTCTAAAGGGTGAGACTAAGAAGATTTTTTGCGAACTAAGAAGAAAAAATCACAAAATTATCCTTATTGAATTCAATTTAAAAATAATAATAATAAAGAAAAAAAGAAGAGGTTTAGGGCATTGAGGAAGAGGAAGTATACAGTGAAGCCCCCAGATTAAAGTAAAGTTCAGGTAGAGCAAAATCTGAGAAATTCATGACAATGCCATAGAAATGCAAGTAAAAGGTCAAATCTAGAAATCCAGAGAAAATGTAGTAACCCTGATGAGTTCAAGATTAAAAACAAAAAACAACCCAGATGAGTTTAAGATCAAAACAACCCAGATGGGTATAAGATCAAAAAACCCAGATGAGTATAACTAGATAGAGATTAAAGGAAAAACACTATAAATAGAAGAAAAAAAAAAAAAAGAATTAGAAGAAGAAGAAGAAGAAAAAGAAGCAAAAGAGGGCACCTTTGGGTGAGGTTTTCTTCTTGAAGATGTTCATTGATGCTTTTCAACGACCAAGCACGAGCTCTTGCTCGATTGAACGGTGTAGAAGAAAACCCTAGTCCCTAAATTTCGAGGAGGAAATGAAAGATCCGAGTCTTAGCGATGATGATGACCCGTTGAGCTCTCTCTCTCTCGCTCTAAGCTGGAAGATTGCGGCGATGGCCTAGTGGAGCGTGCTCTACTGTTTCCACACTTATCCAACGGTACGCATCCAAGTAGCCGTTACAGCTACTCTATTTACTAAAATGCCCATCGTGTTCGTTTTGATTGGCTTAATTGTCTAAAATGATGTTATTTTGGATAGTATTTTTTTTTCTCTCTTATATCTCTGAAACAAAGGGAGGGAGGAAAAGAGAGAAGAAGAGAAAGAGAAAAAGAGAGGGAGAGAGAAGAGAGAGGCTCCACCCATCATAGGTACCTCTATCCTCTGTGTATATACACAGATTTATGTATACATAGATAGATCTGTGTGTGTATACACACATCTGTATAGATCTGTGTACCTATCTCTCTCTTTCTATCTCTCTTTATTCCCCGATCTGTATAGATCTGTGTGTTTATAAATCTATCTATCTCTCTCTGTTTTGAGTTATGGAAGTAGAAAAAGAAAAAGAAAAAAATAAAGGAAGAACAGATATAGGATGACAGGTGAAGAAGTAAGGAAAAAAAAAGAAGATGCCAAAACGTGTTGATGATGATGTGGTGTTGTTTGTTGTTGTTGTTGTTGTTTAGAGTTTAATTTTTTTTTTTTTTTTTTTAGAGCATTTTGGCATCCTTATTGCATCCTAGGCACTACTAGGCCAAGAATAAGACATAATAATGAGGATAAGAAATAAAAACACACCAAGCTAAGAACGAACTAAGTCTCACAATTATACCCACAATGATGTAATATTATATGTGTCAACTTTTGATTTGTTATACATCTAATAATATTGGGCTCACCCTTCTACCACATCATTATGGGGTGGCTTTGTGAGTTAAAAGTGTGGGTATGTAACATTACTCTAATTAGTTACTTTAAGCTGCAACAAACAACCCAAATTACTTGAGCTACGCTTAATTTTCTAAATGCGTAATTTTTGGCATAGTAATATTAAATGTATAGAGTTAGAACATTGAAATTGTACAAAATAATGTACTACATATTTGAAATTTATTTTTGGTATCACGTAAGTCACACTTAAAATAAATTTCAATTATATTTTTTTGTATGCACTTTATATGTTTTCCTTGTGTGCATTTAACATTAATTTGTTTTGGCGGATGGAGGAGGAGGCGAGAGGCGACGGTTCGACGGTGGCTTGGAGGAGGAGGAAGTGACAGAGGAGGATGAGGATGAGGCAGTGACAGCGGAGGAGGAGGCGGTGAGCAAGAGCGACGACGCCATCGTCGACTGCGTACGGAGAAAAGAGAGAGAGAGTGAGTGAGAGAGAGGCGACTCAGAGGAGTAATTAACAAAGGGGGGCTTATATATATGAATAAATTAAGGGGTATTATGGTAATTTCATTTCGAGGGAAAAATGGAAACGGGGCCGGGGACGGAGCCGGGGCGAGTCCAGGGCTGTGAAAGCTATCCTTGTCCCCGGCCCGAAACTAATCGGGGATTCAATTTTAAATACCATCCCCGTCCCGTCGGGGGTATTTTTCGAGAAAAAACCACTCTTATCGAGAACGGGGGGTCGGGTTTAAATTGCCATCCCTAGCTCTCTCTGTCTCTCAGTTCCCCAACTTCCACTTCTTTCTTTCCCCTCCTTCTTATTCTTCTTCATCTTCAGAGAGAAAAGAGAAAGAAAAAAAAAAAAATTCAAAACGACGTAGTTTTGAAATTCGAGCCAGTCGAGCCAGCTCCCTCTCGAACTATCTAGCAGCGCTGTTTGATTTAAGCTTCGTTTGGCCTAAGGTTTTTTTGTTATTTTATTCCAAAAAAAAGAAGAAGATAAAATGGGTTAAAATATTAATAAAATAAAATGTCACATTTAATTCATAATTATTTTATTTTTTTTCACACAAAAGTCAAAAAGGCCATCTCAAACTAGGCTTTTTAACTCCAAAAGTCAAAAAAATCAAAAAGCCAATACACATCCCAAACGGAGGCTTACCAACGGACATTAAGTTTTTATTTTATTTTATTTATGAGTAAAGTTAGGAATCACAAATACTCCTTCTATCCCAAAATAATAATCCTTTTGGGGAATTTAACTTTTTTTGATAATATAATAATTATGTTTAAAAAATATTAATTTTTTAAAATTATTCTTTGATATTACATTTTTTTGAAAATATTGATTGTCATAATTGTACTTTTTGTATTGTTAATAAATTTAAAAGAAGGAAAAAAAAAATTATATTAGTTTATTCCCTGACCTTTGAAATGAGATTAATATTTTAGGATAATGAAAAATAAAATAAGAGACAAATATTTTGGAACGGAAGAAATATTCAATTCTACCAAATATTAAGGCATTATTTGGTATAAACTAAATAAATGCATTTATTTAGATAAGTGTAATTATTTAAATCATATCACATCTCTATTTTTTTGTACATCTTTTTGTAAAAAGTATCTAAAAAATGTAAGAGATGATGTGATCCAAAATTGGTTAAAAATTAAAAAATGACTTTTAACCATCTTTTCAAAATAGTCCTAAATGTAGTACCCACTATAAATGTTTGATAAAACATTTAAGATCATTTTTGTTTATTTATTTATCACTAGCGAATAATTAAGGAAGTTATATACAATTGAATGTTAGAAATTTCTTCATAAATTTGAATCCCAAGCTTTCATTATAAAAAATTAGAGGTATAACAAAATTATTTGATGTTAAAAAGTTAATAATCAAAAATTAAAAAACAAAAGTATACCTCCCCAATTTCTAAATAACAAGTTTCTTTCAACTTATTTAAATGCTTTCTTCCTTATAAATTATAAATAATGCATCAAATAGACTGGTACAAAACTTCAAATTAAAATAAGTTATAATTAGTTGGAAAATATTTAAGACTCACAAAAGTCTCACAATTATACCTAAAATGATGTAATATTATATGTGTCAACTTTTGATTTGTTATACATCTAATAATATTGGGCTCACCCTTCTACCACATCATTATGGGGTGGCTTTGTGAGTTAAAAGTGTGGGTATGTAACATTACTCTAATTAGTTACTTTAAGCTGCAACAAACAACCCAAATTACTTGAGCTACGCTTAATTTTCTAAATGCGTAATTTTTGGCATAGTAATATTAAATGTATAGAGTTAGAACATTGAAATTGTACAAAATAATGTACTACATATTTGAAATTTATTTTTGGTATCACGTAAGTCACACTTAAAATAAATTTCAATTATATTTTTTTGTATGCACTTTATATGTTTTCCTTGTGTGCATTTAACATTAATTTGTTTTTAGATGGGTATTTTTTTGTGCATTTTTTGTTTAGTTAAACTATCATTTTCCCTTCAAACTTTCTTAAATTTCAAATTGATCGGTGAACTATGTTGGTTCTATTTCTTAATCTCTTAAATTAATTCAATTTCTTAACAAAAGTAGTAAGAAAATTTAAAATAAGTTGAGTTGAGATGAGTTGCATTATCGTGCTTAAGATCAACCCACTAAAAATTTGTAATAACCCCGACCTGTAATTAACTGCTAACCCACGATTAAAGATGCCTAATAAGTAATTAAGATGAAATTTTGAATTATTTGCATATGTGTTGTATTATTTGTGTTTCTATCTGTTTATCGTAGGAATATCTGTTTGAGATTCTGTTAAATGTTGCAAATTGAAGGCCTTATCGGCATCCGATCAAGAAATTGACTTGATTTATGTGTTATTTAGATTTTTTTAAAATTTTATGGTAAGTTCAATTGAAATTCGATTCTAAACGAATAAAGTAGAATAAAAATAATCCCACTTAGTTATCTTCGACTCAAACTAATTAAGTTTCATTAGTTTAGCCTATATAAGGCCTCTACACCACCTAGATTCATCTTTTCTTCATCATTTTTTTGAGACAAAAACGTAAGGGAGAAGAGAGTGAGTGAAGAGAAGTTTAAACCCAAGGGAGGAAAGCTAGCATTTGGAAGGAACTTTCGAAATTTGACTTCCTAGCTCAAAGAATTAAGCATCTTAAACCCAATTAAACACATAAGGTAAGAAATCAAATCTTTAGTTTTGTAGTTGAGTTGGTTCATACATGAATTCAAGAGAATTGAGCTAAGAGATGCAAGAATTGAGCTTAAGAAGTGGAAAGAAAGATCAAATTATACATGTATGTGCATTTCATTGCATTTGGAACATGTTTTCTAAGAAATTCTCTCATGCATGTAAAAAGTTGAGCTTAGTTGTAGAAATTCATCATATTTTACATCCTCTTATCCCATTTGATTATGTTTTGGAAGTTTTGAACCTAAGTCAATACATGCATAGTATGTATACTCATAATTCAAGTTTGAATTTGAAGAATCCACTTGCTTTTGGGCCTTGATTTTGAGTATTGATTCTTAATTTATGATGTTTTGCAAGTTTACAAGTGATTTCTTGAGTTTTTGGCCCAAAGGAACATGTTTTACAATTTTAGAATTTGAGTTTGAAGCTTGGTAGAGCAATATAGAAATTCCAGATTCTACTTTTCCGCACTCTGTATTTTGTGCCTCCGCTCGAGCGACCAAAAGTTGGCTCGAATGTAAAATGCATGCTCCTAAAAGTTTCCAATTTTTACAGACCACTCAAGTGACAAGAGTTGCGCTCGTGCGAGGACCTCAGTCTTACGTTCAAGCGAGTATCGAGCGGAAAAACTAAGCAACCAGTACTTTTTGAGAGTTTACAAACTGCTCCAGCGAGAGAAGTTGAGCTCGAGTGACCGGTCACATTTTTGCATGTCCGCTCGAGCGAAAGAAGTTGCGCTCATGCGAGACCCCTATTTTCAGCAAGTTTTTTGTTAAGTGTTTTCAAGAGCATTTTGGCATCCTTATTGCATCCTAGGCACTACTAGGCCAAGAATAAGACATAATAATGAGGATAAGAAATAGAAACACACCAAGCTAAGAACGAACTAAGTTAATGATTCCGTGTGTGTAATTCAGTGTGTATTTGTTCTGTAATTGTGTAGATCACATGCCATAAGATATCTGATTTGTCTACTTTGTCTGTCTACTTTCGGATCCATCTGTGAGTAAT